GCGGGAGGGGCTGCGACCTCCCCAGGCCAAGGGCGCCCGGGCCCGCGCCGAGGCCAGAGGTCCCCCCGGGACGACCAGGCCCTCTGCAGCTGCCGCTGCGGCTCGGAAACGGGCCCTTCTGGCGGCCAACGAGGAGGAGGACCGGGAGATCCGAAAGCTGGAGCGATGCCTCGGCTTGAACAAGCGCAAAAGGAAGGGTGACGGTAGCTCCGTGCCGCTTAGCTTTGCCCGCGATGGGCTCGACTACATCCTGGGAGCCCTGGAATCTGGAAAAAATAGTGGCTTGTATGAGAGCAGCAGTGAGGAGGAGGAGGATGCCGGACAGACTCTCCCCGAAAGTGACTTAGAGAGTGGCACCGAGGGTGAAGGGGAGGAGGAGGAGGATGTGGAAGAAGAAAAGAACAAGCTGGGAGCACAGGTCGAGGAAGAGGATGTACAAGAGGATGAGCAAAAAACAGCAGAAGGGAGAGCCACGTGGGAAAGGAACAAAAAGAGAGTCCGTTTTGCAGAAGAAAGGAGTGAACCTTCCTCTGAGGACTCTGACTTAGCAGATCAGGTATCATGTGAACAACCTAAATTCTCCGGGGTTTTTCCTGAAATAACAAGTGATGGCAAGAGTGGGACAGAAGTGACCTATTGATGTATTGGTAATTGTTGAGCCAAGTGTGGGTGAATTGGGTTATTATGTCTGTTATGTTTTTTAATTTACATGATGAAGAGTTCAAGGAGAAAACATCTGTAAAGACCTTTTTATCCCAGAAAGTTAATGGCCTTCCCACTGATTGTCCTAAGGTGGTATCTCCTTCATTCCGTGTTTACTGCCTCATTGTCCAAACCTGACTTTGAATGCCCTCCCCCTTTGCTCTGTTCCCACCGCTGATGTGTACCGTAAGGACATCAGGACCCCCTCCCGGGCTCTGCCCTCGCCTAGTCCTTTTCCTGTCCAGCTACTCCTGCAGTGAATCTTTGAAACACAGAGCTAGTCAATTAACGCTCCCTTGGATAAAGCCGTACATTGAAGATCAAGTTCAAAATCCATGACAGAGCAGTCAGGGCCTTCATGGGCTGGCCCCTTGCTATTAAAATAGCTTCACCTCGGCATGCACCTGACAGGCAACCTTGTGACTGCACGCACGTCCTTCCTCACATCTCACTGTTACAGCTTTCTGCCCCTAAGTATATGTATTCCTTCTGCCTGCACGGTCCCTCCTCATCTTCTCACTGTTTGTGCTTATCTGTTCACGTCAGACAGATCTGGGAGTCTTTCCCACCTTAAGTATATGAACTAACTGGCTTTCGTTTCTGGCCTGTGCCTTAGCAACAGGCACTTCTCGAGCAGTGTTAAACTGCTGTCGGCTCCTCTCTTAGAACTTTTGTTTTGGACTGTTCCTAACTTTTCTTTCACAGCCTGTTGAGGTGTAATTAGCATACAGTTTGAACTAATGGGTGTCTCAAGAGCAACAGTTTCTATGTACATAAATGTGATTTCTCCAACTAAGTTTAAACTCCCTAACAGCATGGATCATGCCTTACAAATGTTTGTCTCCTAAAGCCCTCACTTAGGTGCCCGGGGAGGGTTGGTACGGTACCAGTGGTAATGATTTGTAACCTTGCACGTGGATGATCTAGGACATAGTGAGCAATGGATTGATTTTGATTTTGTCATGTATACTTACGTGTTAGTTTTGAACAAGTTTGAAGTTATTTTAGGACACTCCTCCTCCAGAACCGGTGGTGCGTGTGATTGAGGTGTTCGTGTACTGCTGTGCCAGCCATAAATCGAGCCTGGGCAAGTGCAGAGGGGAGAGCTCTGGTGGGCAGCTGCCGGGGGGCGCGGCCAGGTCTGAAGAGGCACAGAGCAGAGAACACGATGAGAACACACTCTGGTAGTCACGGCAAGGGTGACCCCCCACAGGCTGGTGAGGGGAGCCCTCGCTCAGGACTCCCCAGGGCACTTGGGGAATTTTTTATGTGGATTAAGTCACAGTGGTCAGTCAGTAGTTACAACTTCTGCCCGTCCTTGGGACTCTGATACGTAAATATGAACGTAGCAAGCAGAGAAGAGGAACTTGTTCAGTGTTAAATTTTTGTAATTCTGTCCTTTCAAGCAGAGTCTTTGTGAAAACAACGGCAAGTACATCCCCCCTCACGTGAGGCAAGCTGAGGAAATAGCGGGTGGTCAGAAAAAGGAGGGACTGGAGAGACTGCAGAAACACGTCAGAGGTCTGATCAACAGGTAACCTCGCCCATTGCCATCCCATGCTGTGCCAAGAGCCCATCTGTTTATTCTAAACTGACAGAAACTTTCCCAGGAATTAGACTGTAAGCGATGGGGTGCCGGGGCTGTGGTGGTTGATCAGCCCCTCTCTGTTTCTGTCCTGCTGCGGCCAGATCTGTCCCCTGAAAAGCAGGAAGCCCACCTTTTCCATTTGGTACTTTGAACCCTTCAGAGTCTGAAAGCCACGCAGGTGCCCACATGGTTGTTCTGAGAAGTCCCAGGAACAGGGCTGGCAGGGCCTGTCCTCCCCCTGCGGTGGCACTCCGGCTCAGGAATGTGGTCTGCGGCCCCCTTTGCTCATTCCTTGTGGTAGCACGTGTGTGCGTCCTCTGCAGCAGGAAGCATCAGGTCCCTGCCCACAGTGAAGACAGGACCTTCCCAGCACCACATGGCTTTCCTGCTAGCCTTCGTGGTCACACCCAGTCCTCCCCGCCGAACCCACTGCTTTGTTTTGAAAACAAAACACTCTTTCCAGAGCGCCTGGGTGGCTCAGTCGGTTGAGCGTCTGACTCTTGATTTCGGCTCAGGTCATGACCTCAGGGTCCTGAGATCGAGCCCCACGTCGGTCTCTGCACTCAGCGGGAGTCTGCTTAAGATGCTGTCTTCCTGGGGCGCCTGGGTGGCTCAGTTGGTTAAGCATCTGCCTTCAGCTCAGGTCCTGATCCCAGGGTCCTGGGATTGAGTCCTGCATCGGGCTCCTTGCTCGGCGGGGAGTCTGCTTCTCCCTCTCCCTCTGCTGCTCCCCTTGC